TCAGAGCTGTTGTACGTAGCTTCGCTCTGAGTTACAGGCAACTTGATGGCACACAACAACAACAACAACAACAACAACAACAACAACAACAGTGTTCCCTTGTTCTGTTTGGACAGCAGCTTCTTGGTGTAGGTATAGGCTTCACAAGAGCACTAGTAAGTATTCTGGGACTCCCATTCTTCACAGTATTTGCCATAATTTGTTATGATCCACACAATCAAATGCCTGTGCATAGTCAATAAAACACAAATAGACATTATTTTGGTGTTCTTCGCTTTCAGCCAGGATCCATCTGACATCAGTGATGATAGCCCTGGTGCTACAGACTCTTCTAAATTCAACTTGAACTTCTGTCAATTCTGTATGCACTATTCTAGCCATTTTTGAATGATCTTCAGTAGGGGATGTTGGAAGGATTCAGGTGTTGGAGGGGTCAGATATTAGACATGTCAGATATTGGAGTGGATCAGATGTTATATGGTCAGATATTGAAAGGATCAGAATTTATAGGGGATCAGATATTAGAGGGGATTAGATGTTGGGGAGTGTCAAATTTTGGAAAGGTCAGAATTTGGAGTGGATCAGATTTTGTAGGGGATTAAATGTTGGAAGGGATCATATTTTAGAAGTCAGATGTTGGACACAGCCAGATGTTAGAGAATATCACATGTTAGACTAGGGTAAGTCTTCAGATATTGGAAGTTCCCAGAGGCTTGAGGACATCAGATGCTGGTGGCAGTCAGATACTGGAGGTGTTCAGAAGTTAGAGAGATTATATTTTGGAGGGAGTCGTATGTTGGGGGAATTAGATGTTGGAAGGGTAAGATATTTGAGGGTATCAAATTTCAGAGAGGCAAAGTTGTTGTAGGAGATATTTCACATAGTCAGATATGAGAGTGGATCAGATTTTGGAAGGAGGCAGATGTTGGAGGAGGTGAGAGGAAGCAAATCAAATGCTAGAAGGATCCACTCTTTGAGGTAATCAACTCTTGTAAGGGGTCATATTTGGATGGGATCATCTGTTGAAGGGATCAGGGGTTGGAGGGGATTCAATGTTGGAGTGGATCAGATTCTGGAGGGATCAAATGTTGGTGGGATCCAGATGTTGAAAGTGTTAGTGAGTTAGAGGGATCAAATCTTAGAAGGAGTCATATGTTGGGGGTCAAGATAGTTGAAGGCATCAGATGTCTGAGGGAATCAGATGTTGCAAGAGGTCAGATGTTGGAGGGGGTCAAATGTTAGAGGGGGTCAGATGTTGGAGGGTGTCAGATGTTGGAGGGCATCAGATGTTGTAGGAAGCCAGATGTTAGAGGAGTTCAGAAGTTACAGGAATCAGGTTTTTTGGAGAGGTTGTATGTTAGAGGGGATCAAACGTTTGTTGGAGTTTGTCAGCTATTTGTAAGATCAGATCTTGGAGGCGTTCAGAAGTTAGAGGAATCGGATTTTTGGAAGGGATCAAATATTGGAGGGGATCAGACATTGATTGGAGGATGTCAGATGTTTTTAATATCAGATCTTGGAGGTGTTCAGAAGTTAGAGATCAGATTTGGAGGCAGACATATGTTGTAGGTTGTCCAGTGATTGAGGGTATACAATTTCAGAGGAGATCAGATGTGGGAGGGGATGAGATTTTGGAAGGGTTTAGATGATGGAGGGATTTTTTTTCATTGAAGGGAATTAGATGTTGGAAGGGTTCAGATTTGGAGGGGATCAGATGCTGGAGGGATTTTTTTTTTCTTAGAGGGAATTAGATGTTGAAGAGGTTCAGATTTGGACCAGGTGTTGGAGAGGGACAGATTTTCAAGAGGATCAAATGTTGAGGGGGCCAGATGTGGGAGTGGGTCAGATTTTGCACCTGGTCAGATGCTCAACATGGTCAGATATTGGAGCAGGTTAGATGTTGGAATATCAGATGTTAGAATGAGTCAGATTTTTACAGAGTCTGATGTTGGAGGGTATCAGATGTTGAAGAGGTCAGAGGTTGTATGGGATTAGATGTTGGAGGAGGTCAGATGCTGGTCAGGGTCAGAAGTTAGAGGAGGCAGATGTTGGAAGGAACATACGCTGTAGTGGATCAGATGTTGGAATGGTCAGATGTTGAAGGGTATCAGATTTTGGATGCTGGATGGAATCGGAATTTAGAAACGGTCAGATGTTGGAGGAGGTCAAATGTTGGTCATGGTCAGATGTTGGAGGGAGTCATATATTGGACTGGATCAGATGTTGGAGCAGATCAGATGTTAGACAAGGTCATATGTTTAATGGGATCAGATGTTAGTCATGGTTAGATGTTAGAGGGGGTCAGATATTGCAGGTTGGAATGTCTGAGAGAGCACGGGGCTGAGGGTTTTTTACCAGGATGAGTGGGTGTCTAGAAGGGCACAGTGCCAAGGGTCCCTCACCTAGAAAGGATGAGGTATCGGAGAGAGATAGGAGTGAGTGTCTCATACCTGGAAGAGCGGAATATATGAGAGTATAGGGGTGATGATCTCACACCTGGATTTGGTGGCTGGACTGGGAGAGCATGGGCGTGAGGGTCCCACACCTGGGTGGGTAGACTGGGAGTTCAGGAGTGAGGGTCCCACATCTGGGCAGGGCTGAGAACGGTCACTACGGATGTTGTGATTGAGTCCCTGGTTCTCCTTGAGTGGATTTGGTTTTGCGTAGATGTTGGGGAGCATGTGAAGGAGGCTGGAGATGATGTTTTGAGTGTCCACTCTTTAGCTCATATAGCTCTGGCCAGCCACTGCTTCCCTGTAGATAAGAGAGGTTCCCAGGCCCCATGGCCTAGGAGAGTGGGACTCTGGGTCCGGTGATCTACACCTCACCTTTGTACTGAGTCTATCTTCTTTGTCCTCAATTTCTCCACATTTTCGGTCTCCTAGGAGTCACTCTTCCCTATGTGTGTGAGATTTAGTCCATTCCTTAATGAGGTCCTCTCTCTGTGGACTCCCTCCCCCTGTGGGCTCCCTCCCTCCATGAGGTTCTTCTGTCCATGGGGTCCCTTCTACTGTGGGGTCCCTCCCTCTGTGGAGCCTTGCCTGCATTGGGTCCATGGGTGTTGACCATGTGGTCCTCCAGTGGGGTCTCTCCTTGCATGAGGACCTTCCCTGTGGGGGGGCTCTGTGGGGTTCAAGGTACCTGGCAGGAGGCTCTGCTTTAACAGCAGCCTGTTCTCTTTGCAGGAGGCCAGCTGTGGAGTCTGACAAGTCTAACCCCTCCAAGCGGCACCGGGACCGCCTCAATGCCGAGCTGGACCAGCTGGCCAGCCTCTTGCCATTTCCACCCGACATCATCTCCAAACTGGACAAGCTTTCAGTGCTGCGCCTCAGTGTCAGCTACCTCCGGGTGAAGAGCTTCTTCCAAGGTAAGCCTGCACTTGGGGCTCACCTGAGCTCATCTGGGGTTCACACCTGGCCCCACCAGCTCTCTCTCGTCTCACCTGTCTCCTGCAGGCCTCGCCTGAGGCTAGCTGGGATCTGGTTATGCTGCGTGCACCATCGCCTGTCTGTGTCCGTCTGACCTGGACTTGCCCAGTGGCCTGTCCTCTCTGGCAGTGCAGACTGGACTGTGGATTTCCTCTGGTGTCACATCTGGGAGTGGTCCACTGCTCCAGCACCATCCCCAACAGCCTCTCCCCCAGCACAGGACCTATCTTATGTGTGAGCAGGGTCAGTACCTACTCTACTTGTGAGCAGAGTCAGGACGTACCCAATGTGTGAGCGGGGTCAGGGCCCACCTTTTCTGCACGTGGGGTGCCCAGGGCTTTGCTCCTGCCCACCAGCCTGGAGCTCCTTGGTAGGTCTGCTTCTGCAGCTAAGCCCATGCCCCGGACTGCCCTGTGACTGGTGGCCATCACAGAGTCCATCTGCCCCTTCATGATGTGTCCTGGTGGCTCTGCACAGAGATGGCCACTGTCCCTGGCAAGTGGGGTCTCCCCACAGCCCTGGTTGCTGTATTAGCAGTGTTGCCGGTCACAGGGATGTAGAAACCATTGCCTGCCACCAGATGGCCCCACCACAGGTGGCACTTGCAGACTCTGCAGTGTCCTGGGTGGGGAGGTGGCTGGGGGACCACTTTCAGCCCCTGGCGCTGGTGTTGTCTGTTTGTCCTCCTGGTCTGTATTGATCTCTCTGTCCAGGTGGCTATGAGCCCCTCTTTTTGGCAAGGGGCTCAGGTCTGCACCTCCATATCCCTAGAGGTGCTTCCACCTGTCAGGTGTGGCTCCCACATGGCATCCTACTTCCTCTTGGCCGTGGTCTCCACCCCCAACCCCCCGGGGCCCATGTGGAGACATGGACTTGGGGCTGGGTCCTATGGAGAGATCTGGATGCAAAGGCTGGCGGAACGTGGGTGCTGGAATGGAGGACAGCGGAGGGGGAAGGCACGCACCCTGAGGTGGTGTGGAGGCAGGAGTGGCATGGCTTTTGTCCCCCTGGTCACAGCGCCTTTATGATGGGTCACCTCTGGAAGAGAAGGAATCCAGGAAGAGCCGGAGGGGCCAGCTAATCCAGGCATTGGCAGAGAAGGGCGACCAAGGATATGCCACTGGGCTGTAGGTGGGGAACCAGGACGCATGCCATTGGCCAGTGGAGTGGGGCCAGCCGGGGGCCCTGCCACCATGCTGTCAGATTTAAGGCCTCTGTGATGGAGCTGACCCTGGACCTTAGCGATATAGGTAGAACTGGCCAGGTCAGTCGGGTGTGAGTAGGGCACAGCCTCCTCTGGCTCCAGATGGGGAGCTGGACAGCTCTCCCAGTGACATGGAATTGGTCTGGACACCACGTCCCTCTCCACACCTGCAGAGCCATTGTCTGAGGTCACAGCTGGACCCAGCCCCCTCCCATGCGTCAGGATTCACTTGCTACCCAGTGGTTTCTACACAGTAGATCTGAGGAGATTGACTGAACCCACTTCTCTCCTTGAGACCAATCACCTTGTGTCCAGAAGGAGCCAGGACAGTGTCCACGTCTGTAAGATGCTGGAATAGTGTTTGCTATGTAGAAGATGCTAGAACAAAGCCTGGTATCTAGGTGTTGGAACAAGACCTGGCATCTAGAAGATTCTGGAACAAAGCCTGGCATCTAGAAAGTGTCCAAATGTTGGATGCGTGGACCTCATGAACGGGCCATCCTGTGTCTGGAACCGAGGAGAGCTGGCCCCTTCTGGGGCGTCCAGCTGTGTTCTCGAGCATTATTAGGTTCTGGTACCCGGAAGATGCTCAGAGTTGAGTGCCTCAGAGAGGACCAGCAAGTTCCTTCCAAAGGTTGCCACAAACACACACAAACCCCAGCCAAGGAAGGAGAGGAAGTTTAGTGAGCAGAGTGCCCTGTCAGAGAAGCAGACATCAAGTTTTCTCAGCAGTGACAAAGACCTCTGTTTGAGGGTAGTGGTTGACGATTTAAGGGGTCCTTCTTCCTCGTTTCACTCCTTCTGTGGTCAGCTCTGGTTGAGGGAGAGCGGTGGTGTTTTCCAGATAGAAAGCAAAGCTGATAAGGACGGCAAGGCCTGTCCATACTCCAGCCGCCCTGCCTGTCTCAGATGTCCCTGGAGAGAGGAGACTCTGAAATCTTAGAGTCTTTAGATGATAGCCAGTCTTTGCTGTTTTCTGCTCTCATGGGCTATTGTTGTTGTTGTTAGATGTCAAGGGTGACTCCTAGCGACCTGTCCTGTCCTGTCCCATTCTCATCATCTCTGACCCACTCAAGCCTATTGCTGCAGTCACTGTGTCAATCTATCTGATTCAGTCTTTCTCTCCTTCACTGTCGCTCCACCTTCCTAAGCATGATGTCCCTCTCCAAGGAATAACCTTTCTGCATTATGCAGATGACACAGCCTTGCTTGCTGAAACTGAGGAGGACCTGAAGCACCTGCTGCAGAGGGTCAAGGACTGCAGCCTCCAATATGGATTGAGGCTCAATGTCAAGAAGACAAAGATTCTCACCACTGGACCAACTGGCAGCATCAGGATGGATAGTGAAGAGACTGAGATTGTTCACAGCTTCAGTTTGCTTCGCTCCACAGTCAACACTCTTGGCACCAGTAGCCAGGAAATTAGAAGGTGTATTGCCATGGGAAAGTCTGCTGTTAGGGACTCTCCAAAGTACTGAAGAGCTATGGTGCCTCTCTGGAGACTAAGGTGTGTTTCATACAGGCCATGGTCTTTGCAATCACTTGTTATGCATCAGAGAGTTGGACAATGACCAAGGAGGATAAAAGGAGAATTGATGCCTTTGAGCTGTGGTGCTGGAGAAGAGTATAGAGAGTACCATGGACTGCTAGGAAAACAAACAGATTCATCCTGGAAAGGGTTAAACTGGGTGGCTTTTTGGAGGCAAGGATTCTGAGGCTCCGTCTAACATACTTTGGACATGTTGTGTGGAGAGATCGGTCTTTGGAGAAGGACATCATGCTTGGGAGGGTGGAGGGACGGCGCAGGAGGGGAAGGCCCTCTATGAGGTGGATTGATTCAGTGACTGGGATAATCAGAATGGGAGTGTCAGAGACAGTGCGATTGGCACAGGACAGAGCAGAGTTTAGGGCTGTTGTACATAGGGTCGCTATGAGTCGCAAGCGACTCGACGGCACATAACAACAACAACAACAGCAACAACAACAGTAACATGCCAATATATGAAACAAAGCTTTGCCATCCCTGGCTCCCAGGAGCACTCCAGGTGCGCCTTCTCCGAGACATACCTGTTTGTCTTAGTTTTCAAACTCATTGGTGTCATTATTCTCAGTAATTTGGAAAATGCCTGACTGTAGATTTTCTGTCATGGGCTGTAGGCCTGCCTAGGTTGGAGCCTCATCATCCGTCCTTCTGGAAAGCTGGCTGGCTGCAGCTACATTAGCTAATGGGCAGGTCTGGGTCAATGGTTTTAACAACTCACTATCAACCCTGCTGTTTACGTCCTACTCTGGCGTTTACGTATGAAAGTGGAGTAAGGAGACTAGCTAACAAACTAAAATGCAAGATACCTTTGCAACAATAAAAAATATCTGTGATATACCCTTAGAATACGAGAACTGTGGCACAAACAGACTTGTACACCAATGTTCACAGCAGCATTATTCACCATCGCAAGAACATGGAAACAGCCCAAATGTCCAAACACAAATGAATGGATTGAGAAATTATGGCACATTTACACAATGGAATACTATGCAGGACGCAGAAGCAATAACTTTGTAAATTATTACCTAACTTGGGAGGGACTGGAGAGCGTTATGCTGCGTGAACTAAGTCCCACAAGGATAAATATTGTATAAAACCGTTATTGTAGAATGAGTATAAGGATCCAGGAGGGGTGGGAGAGGCTGGAAGCAGAGGGATGTGGATGTGCAGGGGAAGGAAGGATTAATCATGGGGTTGTACAATTTGATGAGTGGGGGGGTGAGGGAAATGGAAAGAATTTGTTCAAATTTGTATTTGAATTTTGTAAATAAACTAGTAGAAAATTTGAAAAACAAAAATATCTGTGAGAGGGCCTACCATGGGATAATCCACTTCAAGATCCTGAAAAGACACCCCAACGGTCCTCTGCTGATTGTCTTAAAAGGGAAGTGAAACAGCTCAGTCCCACAAGGACAAAGACTGTTTGAAACCATTATTGTAGAATGAGCGTGAGGGTCCAGTGACGGGAGGGTGGAAATAGATGGGAGACGATGGGGGGTAGGGTGTTAACACAATTTGATGGGTGGGTGGGGTAAAGGAAATGGGAAGGAGCTCTAGTGAAAAATAATGTATTCAAACTTTGTAAATAAATCAGTATAACATTTTAAAAATAATAATTTTTTTAAAAAATTACGTTTTATAAAAAGGGAAGCAACGGTGTTTTAGCTTTTGTGTGGCTCCTTGGGCCGTGCCTATCTGGTTGGTATAAGAATAACATTCTTGGGGTGCAGTGCGCAGCCCCTCCCCCAGCGTTAGCTTGCCAAGGCCCCAGTAGTAGAACAACTGCATTCGATCTGTGTCTGAAGGGCTTGCATCCTCTGTCTACTTCACCTGGGGCTGAGGCAAGCTCTTGGGGAATGTCCTGTACACCTGTAGAAAGGTGCCCTCCAAAAAAAAAAAAAGAAAGAAAGGTGCCCTCCAGCTCCAAGTCCTGTGCTGAGTGCCCATCCTAAGGTTACAGACAGGGTCTCTAAAGGAAAGACTCTTCTTGTCCAGGAGATCCAAGCTGTGGGTGGAGGGAGGGGCAGCAGTGTGGGGACCTCTGTGTCTGCAGAGGCCACAGAAATATCTGGAATTGGAAACATTAGAACACAAGTCCCAGCTCACTTAGGGGTTGTGTGCATTAGGAAATTCTGCTATCAGAGACCTCTCCAGAGGACTAAAGAGCAATGATGTCAGTTTAGAAACTA